GGCAGCGGCTGCAGCTCTCCTGTACCCGCGTCGCTGTGCTACTGCCAGGGGCTCTGGCAGGGGTGCCTTGCGCTATAGGTAAAGCTACACAAAAATTGTGTTTAGGCAGGCCCTGCTGCATTTGAATATGTGGTGTTTTTTTTTTAATTTAGGTGGGTTATTACATACGCTGGTTGTTTTTTTAAAAAAAAAAAGCCCTTAGTCAACAAAACTGGGGGAGCAGGTTTGGAGGATGGCTGTGTTTGAGTAGTGAAAATGAGATTCTTATGTTGTCAGTTTGACAATTTGCAGTTGCTTTGGATAAGTACTAAGTCATTCTCCTCGTATGTTTGAGTTCCTCCTTGGGACTGAAATAGATTTGTTTCTGAAATGCTGATTTTGGCATAAAAAATAATGAAAGGCTTATTATTAATCTCTTTTATTTTACCAGCTTATTGGTGCATAATCTGAAAGAATAGGTTTATTGTAAGAAAAGTGCACAGTGAACTGTACTAATTTAGTGGTATTTCAATACACAGTCATATGAGGACTCTGATCTCTCTATGCTGGAACTCTTAAAATGCTGTGGAGAGAAATGTTTTGATTTTGTTTGCATGTGCTTTGAAGGATTAGTGGATATTATTTTGGTGATCTTCTGTATTGGGACATGTTTACGTGTGGTGTGTACATGTTTAAAGGTGCTGAGATGAAGGAGGAGCTTTTAGAATAATCTACTTTGAAGAAACTTTTGTTACTGTACTGTTTGCAGTTGCTTCTAGAAGCATTTCAAAATAATGTAATTTCAAAGTGATGTATTTCAAAACTGTTTATTCAGCTATAGGATAGCTTTCCAGATGGTATATCAAACATGTTTGATATGTGTGATGGTTAGAAAGTATTAACTGTACTCTTGTATCTGCTCAGAGTAATTACATAAATACTATTATTTAGCTGAGAATCAAGCCTTCATAGTCAGGTGTAGTCAGCACTCTTTATGCAATTCAGTTGTGGCTTCTTTGTTGTGACACAGAGCGAGATTGCCATGGTGCAGGGATGCGAAGTACATTCAGCCTCAGCAGCGGGAGGGAGGAAGCAAGCTGGGAAGGACTGCTGGTCTCATCTGGGTGTCCTATCCTGCAGTAAAGCTGAAGCGGTGACACCCCAACATGAAAGCTGTTGCTATTCAGCTGTTCTGAAAACCACTTCTCTGTGGTTTTCTGAGGTGGGCAATATGTATTTTGTGGCAGTCAGGTGTATAAAGTTTGGTATGTAGTCTGTAGGTCAGGAGGGTTTGCTGTTCTGATATAATGTAATACATCTCCACACCTATCCCAGAAAATGTGCCTGGGTAGTTGTAACAACGCTATCAAAACTGAATGTAACTTGTCAGACCATGAGTTTCACATTTGATGTATGATGAAATATGTAAGCATTATTGGCTCTTGGAAACGAAGACAAGGGTGGAAGAAAAGATGAAGGAAAATTTGATTATTAGCAGGTTCTGCCTTCTGAATAGGAAATACATACCTTACTAGAAAGTAACAGTGTTTAACTCAATAAATCCAACAAATCTTTTATGTATATATATGCACTTTATTAGTCACTGCATATGGTGTTTGTATATTGGCCTCTGTGGAGTAGTAACTGAGTGGTAAAAATAATATCAGTGTAAAACCATTTCAAGTGTAGCTAGAGTAAAATGTGGGGAAAAGACTTTAAAGTCCAGTACAGAAAGTGGGAGTTCATGCTGCAGTGGAGATGGAGTTGGTGGACTTCTTAGCACATGCCTATAGAATGGCTGAAATGGCCTTTAAGTTGCAATTTTCTCTGTCTTCTCAGGAGATAATTTTAAAAGGAGAGCTTATTCAGTTAGTGGTTATAACTGAGATTGTTGCCTCATGCAGATTGTTGTATCAATACCTCATTTTTCAGGGATAATGTTCCTTCACTTTTCGCACAAAACACTGATGGATTTTGATGTATTAGCAGAGAAATTTCTTAAATTCTAGATCCTTTTCAGACACCAGGCTATTCTTTCCTCTCTTAGCTGAATTATCTTCTGTCTCTGATCCCTCTGTACCAATTATGATTTCCAGATATTCTCTTCCCTTGCATTTGCTCATTTTTGTTCCCTGCCCGATGGCCTTGTTCAGCCCGATGGCCTTGCAGCAACTTGAGTAAAAGTGATGGTGGAAGTGCTCTTTTGCACGAAGTCCCGTACGGCTCCTTGTGTTGCAATTGCCATGACACGTAAATCTCCTCCTAATATCAGTAAGATAACATGCCCATTAAAATGTTGGCAGACTAATTATCATAGTATTTCTATTACAGTGTGGCGATAGTGATTGCACCTGTGGAAAACTTTAAGAGAAGGGTACTCTATAGAATTAAGTTTGCCTGTCAGTCCATGTTTTATAGGAACAGTTTCTGCTTTTTGTAGCTTTCATCACATGCTGACAGTTGATTATTTCCTAATGATATTAACTATGAAATGTGGGGCTTCTCTTTGTGTTATGGATGTTGTTAATCTGTTTTGTTAAAAGTCAGCATTAGAATCAAACTATTAAGTTAAACTATAATTTAAAAAACTTGAAAAGTTTTTTAACTATCGTATAAACTAAAGGTGTAATGTCATCATAATTTTAGTAAAGAGAGCTATAGGTCTTTAGAAGTGGAGAGTTTTCCAGGAGTCTTCCATAGCATATGTAACTGCTGGGCTAAGAGGGTTGTCAGTGTGTTCGTGAGAATTCCTGATTCAAATCTCAATTCAGGGGGATTCCTGGATGTCTAAAGCTGTTTGTTAACTTAGTACGGTGTAAAATGAGACCTGGGAGTATTTTCCCAGGGCTACCTCTTAGGTGGTTCTTTTAGACTTTTACAGTAAATTCTTAATTATTAGCCAGTGGGAGTTTAGATATCCTAGTTGCTGGAAAAACCTGTATAATTTATTATAAAATGTATTATAAAATGTTCTGGGAAGCATACAGCAGTTATTCAGGGACAGTGTAGATATAGCTGAGTGTTGGGTTTTTTTTTGCGGGGGGGCGGGGATGGCGTGTGTGTGCTTCTTGCTGGCTTTCCTAGATGTTCACAGGCTCCTGCTGATGTGTCTCCTTTTCAGATGTGTCTGTGTTCCCCAGTGCTCCAGCTTCTGAGTAACTGTAGGTGAAAATTTTGAAAGCCTTAGGTCAGTGCCCAAATGGTAAATTTGAGTTCAAACAATTGTTGAAAGGAGCGTCTTGATATATAATGTAGTGGAATATGACACATGTACTTCTTAAAAAGTTATTTCCTAGCATTGCTGTAGGAATGTACTCTTGTGGAATATAGTAGTGTTATTCCTTTATATTTGCATATAGGCCACATGATGAGTTACTGAAAAGGGTTAATTATGGTTATAAAATTCTTACAAAATTTGACACAGCAGAAGACGTAAACCAATTACACTTAGAAATACTTTTTGCTATTTGATTCTTAAAGAAATCAGAGGATTAAACAGTTTGCAAGAATGAATGAATCTTGAATAATGAGCAGAATGAATAATTAAATGCATTAGTGAAAGGCCTTAAAGCAGGGTGTATTTTTTTTTTGTGTAAGCAAGTCTTTTTTTATAGTGTTTAGTGTGCTGCTGCATGTTGTCTACTCTGACCTAACCTAGAATTACTGCTTTAGTTATAACATTTCTTACCCGAATTTGTTGCTTGAGTCAAGATGTGATCAGAAGAAGGACTATTTTAACACTATGTATTTAACTTGCACCGTGTCAAATATTTGTTATTTTGAAGCGGTTGCTGCATCCTAGGAGTCTTAAATTTCATTCTGTTTCACCTTGTAATTCTGCGCATTGCTTTTAGGATTTTAGAAGCACTACTCAGTCTTTATTAATTATAACTCAGTTACAGTATTTGAATGTGTGACTGTCATTAAGTACATTCAATATTTTGTGATTAAAGATGTCTACACTTCAACATTCTGCTAATGATTCTCTCTTTATTACAGTGATAAACAGAGAAGTTGACCATGACAACCTTCCTGGAATTTATCCAGCAGAATGAGGACAGAGATGGAGTTAGATTCAGCTGGAATGTTTGGCCTTCAAGTCGTCTTGAAGCCACAAGAATGGTAGTCCCGGTGGCTGCCCTCTTCACACCACTGAAAGAACGGCCAGACTTGCCTCCTATTCAGTATGAGCCAGTGTTGTGCAGTAGGACCACATGTCGAGCTGTTCTGAATCCTTTATGGTAAACCTAATACATATGTTACGCCAGTATTTTTCCTTACAAACAATATTTAGAGTAGTGCCAGTGAAACATGCAAAAGATCTGGTATGTGGAAGTTCAAATACTCCTCACATGAGTATACAGCTCAAACTTCTAGATCTTGGATGTTTCTGCACATAATTTGCATGTTTAACATATATATTTAAAACATGGCTTTCATTTAACTAGTCTTTTCAAAGTACTTAATTTAATTAATGATTAGGTATGTTATTTTTCCGGAACTACACATCTTGTGAGTTACTATACTCCTGCATTTTGCCTCTAGAAAATAACTAGGGCAAAAAGTTACTATGCTATATCTTTTTAACTCTTGGGCCCTAAGATAGTTTAATTTCCAAGTAAAATAAACTATATTTGTTACTGACCTTAGTTCACTTGTAGACCAAAGCAGGTTAGCTGGTTTAGTTTACCAAAACAGAAACTGAAAGATGTGATAGATAGGTAGATAAATACATCAGAAGTAGGCATGAGAGAAGGTGAAAGCTGTTTAAACTAAAGGGTGATATTGGCACAAGCACAAATGATTGTGGATTGTAGTCTTGGATAAGTTTAGGTTGGAAGCAGAGGAGGTGTTTCGTATGTCATTCCAGTCACAGAAGTATGGAAAAAAAATGGAACCATTTCTAAGGTAGAGTTTGATCGGTGATAGTGAGAGTGATAGTGAGAGATTAGACATGATGTAGAAGATCCTGTAGAACTCACTTAATTTTATGAACGACTTGTCCCTGCTTGGGAGAAGAGACAATTTCAAAGCAGATGTAAAATTGTGTTTCAGTATTAAACAGACACAGTGGCTGATTATACTGGAAGTCAGACTTAGTGGAAGCTAACTTTTTCAGAAGCATTATCTTTTATTGAGGGCTGAAAGAAAAATAACGGAAAGACAAAGCCGTAAAGGGTCAGTCAGATCCCTGACATTACAGTGAACAGTGTACATTTTTCCTGTCTTATGTATGCGAGTCATGACTGGATTTTTCTTTTTTTTTTTACAAGGTGTCATTAGAGACTCAATTTGGAGGGACTTTTGAAGCTTGTGTGGCTAGGTAATCTGCAGCCCCTGAAATTGGTGTAGATCATTTGATCTCAATAGAACTGTGTTGTGTTTACAGCATGCTGGGATTTATCCAAAGATTTAATGATGTTTTAAAAAGACTTTTGCCCTTGTAGACAGGAGAAGATGTGATAGAAAGAAAACATGTAAAGTTTACTTTCCCTTAAGATGTGAGTAGGACTTTGTAAGACGTCTGTATGGCATGAAGGTACAAGTTGCATTTTTTATTTTAACTATCTGAATACTAATAAAAATGTAGATAAAAGGAGGTAAGCTCATCAATTGTAAAAATGTTATTTTCACCAGAGAGCTATTAAGTTGGAACCTGATTTTTTAGGGCATAATGTATATTCAGGGTAGTCGCAGACTCTGACAGCTAATAGGCATAGGCTGAGAAAGGAGAAAAACGCAAAGGTAGAGAAAGTTAAAATGATTTGCCTAAAACCATGCAGAAAGTCTCTAATGAAGGTGCTGAGTCTGTATTCTTAAATTTCTTAATTGCTTCTTTTCCTTGAAAACCATTCCTCTTCTCTAAAGACAGTAATTTGCCTGATATGTCTGTGTAAGACTACACTTACTTTGAATTTGTAGTATGGGTGTTTAGGAGGCAGTATATTAGGAGGAAGCTTTTTCAAAGTCAATGTGTTTTTGAAAAATTAAAAGAAACTTATTCTAGGGTCAGTGGAGGAAAAAGAATTGTTCATGCTATATAAACTTTTCTTATTGTATTTTTATAGTCAAGTGGATTATCGAGCAAAACTCTGGGCTTGCAACTTTTGTTATCAGAGAAATCAGGTAAGAAAATGAAACATTCAGGTTATAGAAGATCTTTTTTATAAGGTAAAAGTGAAAATCCTCATTTTTCAAGTTGTAGTTGCGAACTGAAATTGACAGCAAGAGCATGAGTGTGCAGCTATATCTTCAGAGATTGCATTGAGATTTTTTTCATGACAGCAGTAGTGAACATCTGTTGCAGAGGAAAGTAGTCCATACGTATGTTTTTGTTTTTTGTAGAAGTTGTAATCGTTTGTTTATACTTAATTTCTGTGTTTTTACTTGCAGTTTCCTCCTACCTATGCTGGCATATCTGAAATGAATCAGCCAGCTGAACTTTTACCTCAGTTCTCCAGCATTGAATATGTAGTACAGGTAAAATCATTAAATAAAATCTTTAACACCTATAACCTTGCAATATAAAAAAAGAATTAATTTTAATTTTATTTCTTCACTGTGTTTTAATGACTGTGAGTCTATATGTGCTTGTTAGTTGATTGAACATATGTGTCATCAATTGGAAACGGAAAACAACTTTTTATAAGAACACAAGGATGGCTAAGATGACTGGTTAAAAAAAAGAAAAAAGAGAGGTCTCTTCTAAAGGCAGTATTTTGGTTAGGTCTGTTTCTTTATCAGGAGTTTAATTTGGGTTTGTGATGGGGGTCTGCTTACTGCTGTGCTTCTCAAACGATATCAGTTCAAATTTGTCTGACTGTTGATTCATCTCTCATTAATCATTTGAATTTAAGTTTGTAACTGAATGATTATGAGTTAGCTTTAGGGCTAGCTGGTTTGGAGAAAGGTGTTTGAATTTTAATGTTCATCCTTTTTTAGGATAGAAGTTACTTGAATAGAAATAAAAAATGGACCTACAACCCAAAATTGCAAACACTTGCAATTGCAAATTTGTAGTCTCTAAACTCCATTTTTGAGGATTAAAATTTGTAAGACTTCAGTGGGGCATTCAGATTATGAAAAGAAGAGCGAAGACTGAACAGCATCTAGTTTTTGCCAACTCTTGTAACGTAAAGTAAAGGAGATATTTGCTCATACTTCAGCAAAATTAGTTTAGAAAGAATAAAAAGAACTGATGATCTCTAGAGTAAAATTATGAGGTGAAATGCCAAAGAATGTTACCAGGTTGGAATATTTTCTAATTGTGAATAGCCTTATGACTATTATGTTTACTCGGAGCAATAAAAGCTCATTATATAATAAGAGATTTATATGATTGGCACATGCTTCAAAACTATCATGACATCCTGAAAGGTTTTTTTTGTTTTCTTCTGCAGTGAGCATTTCGTTTTTGTGCAGAGTTCAGTATGATAGGGGTTTCATTCCCCTTTAGCCCCAGATACTGATTACTACTTGAGAGGGAGGTAAATTAGATGGAACATTGACATTATTGGTATGGTTAAAATTAAAACTTTTACAAAATGTACTTTATTTGTTCATTTTTGATCCTGTAAATATTGCAAGATTTGGTTTTCATGTGATTATATTTGTGTTTCTTAAAGCGTGGTCCTCAGATGCCTTTGATATTTCTTTATGTTGTGGACACATGCATGGAAGATGAAGACTTGCAAGCTCTGAAGGAATCCATGCAAATGTCACTTAGTCTCCTACCACCAACTGCATTAGTAGGTCTCATTACCTTTGGACGAATGGTGCAAGTTCATGAGCTTGGTTGTGAAGGAATTTCCAAAAGTTATGTTTTCAGAGGAACAAAGGACTTATCTGCAAAACAGCTGCAGGTAACGCACAAAAGCAAACAAAAAGAAATTATCGAGGTGATGGTGATGAAGAAATTCAAATAGTCTGTAAACAAATTTTGTAATAAAATCTTATGTATTTGACTACAGGAAATGTTAGGGCTTACAAAAGTAGCTGTTTCACAAGTCGGTCGGGGTCCTCAAGTGCAGCAGCCACCACCTTCTAACAGGTAAGGTGCTTAAAACATCTAAAAAACATACCTTGATTTACTGGAAAACTTAAGTTTTATGACAACAAAAACAATCAACTGACAGTCGAACCTTTTGATCAGGCACAAATTTGCTAGGAGACTAATGATTACAGCCTGTTTCTTTCCTACAGTTTGTACTGGGAAGAAAAGACTTAATGGGTGATGGTAAAATCATCTGGATGATGCTTTGGAAATATTCTGAGAGACTGTTATATAGGCATATTATAGATATGTAAATAATGATGCGTCTGTTGGTTGGTATGCTGGAAAATGTTAATACCTGCTTTAGTGCCCCTTTCTTATGTGGATATCCAGTTTTGCCTTCCCTTTTTCTCCCTCTTCGACTTCTCTCCCCTCCCTTTCTGTCTCTCATTTGGAAACGGTTGGTGTTTGATTCTCCTGTGTATCCCACTGTGACATAGAAGAAATTGATGAAATGATAAAAGAGAGAGAGAGTTTTGCAGTCTCCGCCTTCCAATAAGTAGCTGCATTTGTAGACAGCCCATAGCAGAGAGCATGAAAAATTCTTTATATGTTAATGTTTCTTCTGATCTTTGATTTTCACTGAAGTAGTGAAACTTGAGTTTCTTTTTGAGATTCATAGGTAATCATCTGCTGATAAAAATTTTATTTAACAATTTGAATCTAAACTAATTCCATGTATTTGTTTACAGATTTTTGCAGCCAGTGCAGAAAATTGATATGAATCTTACTGATCTTTTGGGTGAACTGCAACGGGATCCTTGGCCTGTTCCACAAGGAAAACGGCCCTTACGTTCTTCTGGAGTGGCTCTTTCTATAGCTGTAGGGCTCCTTGAGGTAATAGCTTTAACTACAGTTGTGCTAATATGTAAATAGACATTTTGTTGCAGAAAAGCTGCCACGATCAATATATAAAAACCTTAGTAATTGATGCATATTAGATTTGTATGATGATTCTGATGGATATAATTCCCTACATACATTGAGTAATCGTACGTTTTTACACATTTTAATGAGAGAAAATTGAGACTTTGAATTAACAGTGGATTTAAGTTTCTGGAGGGAAAAAGTACAGTTATTGTTAGAATCCTATAAACATGATAAATACCTGCATAGCTATTTCTTTTGTTCAGCTTGTCGAAAAACCTGATAGTTTTATTTGTCTTCTATTTCCTGCAGTGCACTTTTCCTAATACTGGTGCACGTATAATGATGTTCATTGGAGGACCTGCTACACAAGGACCTGGCATGGTTGTAGGGGATGAATTGAAGTTACCTATAAGATCATGGCATGACATTGAAAAAGACAATGCTAAATATGTTAAAAAGGGTACTAAGGTAAGAGATGGTCATGGGTGATATTTTAGGAATCTTACCAGTAAGCAAACATTTACATTGCCTGGCACTGTAAAATACTGTTAGTAGTAGCAAATGAGATGGGGATTTTGTGGTTTTGTTTACCTGTCTCTGAATAGTGGCATGCCTTCAGGAATTTCTTCAGAAATTTCAGTATATTGAGTTAGGACTTTGTCTAGCTTTACATTAAAGTTCTTTGGAGTGTTTCCGTGGTTTAAGTCAGAGAAGATTAATGTGACTAGATGATATATCTAGAGTAAGGCTGTCTGCTTCCAAGACAGCTGCTCAAAACTGTCTCTGTAGTTGGGGGATAGTTAGGCAGTAGAGTTTAGGCATAGTTTGTTTCATCCTAAATGTACATTTGGGCAGGTGAACTGCATCCAAAACCTGTTGAGTTCGTCTTAAGTGGTTATCGTGGGAGCTTAAACAATTAGCTCAGTCGCAGCCGCCTGTTGTTATAGACACTTGAGATTGGAAAGGTAAATTCAATTCTGTGTGTTGGATCTAGTACTTAATGCAAAGTTTAAGAAGAAAAGATCAAGGTAATTTTCTAGTTTAAATAGCAACCCCTGGTCTGTCTAGTGTGAGTCAGGTTCTCAGCTGGTCAGAAAAAAACCACAGGTGTTGAAAATTCCAGTCTTAATTTTAATTTCAGGAAAAAAAAATTATTTTCGCTTGTATTAGAATATGATGTGAATAAAGTCTGATAATGTTGTTTTAGAAAAATTTTGGGAGTTTAGGATTTAATCTGAAGATGAAGAGAGTTCACGTCATAAATTGCCATGAACTGTATTTTCATCTTGGATTTAGCATTTTGAAGCCTTGGCTAATCGGGCTGCAACAAATGGTCATGTTGTTGACATATATGCATGTGCGTTGGATCAGACTGGACTTCTGGAGATGAAGTGTTGTCCCAACTACACTGGGTATGTGCCTGTTCATTTTTAAGTGGTTTGTGAAGGTGCAGTTTTTTGTGTGTGGTGTGGGTTTTTTTTTTTTTGTTTTGTTAAATAATTTTTAACAGGAAGCACTTACCAAAAACATTCTGCTACTTTAAAAAACAAACAAAAAACCCCACAAACCTACTCTGATATACTGTGATGGTTGCATTTGTACCAGAATTGTGGAATTTCTCAGCCTCTGGCAAGTTTGTCACCATAATTGTGGGTTTAATCAGAAGGGGGTTTGCTGTTTTGTTTTGTTGTTTGTTTTTTTTTTTTTTTTTTTTAAATATGATCTGTTTGAGGTTTAAATAACATGGATATCTTTTAAACAGGCAATTTATCCTATGTGCTGTTGCTATTTTTCTTTTTCAGTGTGTGTATATGTAAGCTGCAGATTTCAGTAAAGATAAGGACCTGTCATCCTTCTTTTTCTTGCTCTTCAGAGTGGTACAAAACCCTGTGTTACTTCTTCTGTCTTGTTTATGCCCTTCTTTTATATACTGTTGTTCAGAGGTTCAACTACTGTCTTAGGTGATTATCAGGTGCATCTGTTGCTCCTGATTTTTGCTCCCTCTGTCCAGTTCTACATTTCAGACGTGGTCTTGTATTCCCTCCAGCTTGTCTTGCCATCAGGTCATTTTAACAGGATCAAAGGAAGTTCTAGTCTTTCTCATGAAACCACTCCCCTATTTTCTGTCATTGTGGATGACACCCTCATCCTTCCTCTTACACAGATCTAGAGTCTAGGATAACTTTTGCCTCTTGCTTGTGTGTTAAGTACCTCATTCATTTTGTAAATCCTGCCAATTCTTCCTCCGTATTTTTTTAAATACTGTCTTTTCTTTCTCCTTCTCTTTCTGAAAGTATTTTCTACACTTTTAATACTTCATCTTTGCTAGTATCTGCTTTACATACCGTTTGATTTTTAGGTTAGACTTCTCTATTCAATCTGAATTCTTTTGCTAAGCTCATTTTTCTTGCTTGTTATTGTTAGATGTGTCAGTACAAACTGCAGGTAAAATTAAATGAAATGTTTTTGCTTATCAGTTTAATAACTGGTATATCTGTGGGTAACAGGCTTCTTAGTTGCCTGTCAGTACCTTCATATGACAGAGGATCCTAAGCACATACTACGTATCTAGGCATACCAAGAAGAAGGAGAGATGCAGCCACAGGCTGTGATGAACATATGCTGCTGAGTTTCAGGCCAGCTTGGCCATGCTAGTCACTGCTGGGTTGCTTCTCTTCAGAGGTGTGTTTGTATAGCCTTAGCATGGGAGTTTCCACTGCTTACGATCTTTAAGTTTATGACTTTACGTGCACATGTGATTCCTATTCCTTTTCTGTATCAAACTTAAACTGTATTTTTCTATATACTACAGAGTAATTTTGCTCTTTCTCTCTGCTCTTGTGACTCACCTTACCCTGTTTCTGCTCTTCCAGCAAAACTAGCCTTAATGCGTAATTTGTCCGTTTCTCTTACAGCTGTTCCTATTTTCTATTTGGTTACACCCTACATACAGGGAGGGATTTCTGATTCTGCCCATGTCTATTGTCTTCTGTCTTCAAGTATCCACCTGAAAACTTCTATAAGTTCTTTCCGGTGTAATGTTTGACCTGTTAACATATTTTACTAATATGATTTAATTAATATTTTTGGATGAATAACAATAATATCTCCCATTACTGTTTCTAAATGCAGTCTATGATATTTCATGATGAGTGGCAACTGTTGCAGTTACATCCACAGAATATTGCTAAGCATAAAAGCAAATCATGCTTCTTGAGCATAGATTTAAGCTTGAAATAATGAGTGAACTACTCAAAATAAAATGGCATAGTAATAGGTTTGAAATATTGAATACTAGAAGTAGTTAACTGACTTTGCTTGACAAGGTTGTGAGACATTTGTGGTGTTGAAGTCCAGTATAGTATTTTCCCAGTGAAAGATTTTTTACATATTATAATCATAATGACCTTACGATGCTGATTGGGCAAGCAGCTCACTTACAAAATTCATCCCTAACAAAATATTAATTTAATGACAGCCCATTTTAAGAAGGCAAAAATGTGCCTCACCATGAACTGTCATTAGTTTTAGCCTTTAATAGAAATAAGGTATATAAATCCCATGTGCTAAATTATTGCATAACAAGTAATCTGTTTTAACTTGAGGCTTTTGTTTGTTTGTTCTTTTTGCTGTTGTTGTTGTCTAGAGGCTACATGGTAATGGGAGACTCTTTCAATACATCTTTATTCAAACAAACCTTTCAAAGAGTATTCACAAAAGATATGCAAGGACAATTTAAAATGGGATTTGGTGGCACATTAGAAATAAAGGTAAGAATAAAAACCGCAATGTGTTAGTGAAACACTGGAATAGGATGGCTAAGAACTGTGGAGTCTCTGCCCTTTAAGGAATTTTAGGAACGTGCTAAACAGATGTGTCAGGGTTGGCTTGCACGTAGCTGTTACTGCCTAGCTATCTTTTTACAGTTCTGTGATTCTGTAAATGTGAGTTAGGAATAATGTTAATTCCTTCTTACCCTGCGTTCAGTGACAGCTAAAAAGGGGACTGAACTAAAATTAATGTTTCCGTTACAAACTCACAATGCTATGCGCATAGATTTTGGTATCAGTCATGAGTGTTTCTTGGTTTTAGGTCCAGGTTCTCTACATAGTCCAGGACAGCTTTCCTTCCATTTTCTATCCTTATCAGAATCCACTCTGGGACTTTAACAATGTTCATTTTCACCTCCACTCTTGTGAGAAGCTTAGAGCTGAATGTGCTGTAGGTTCAGGTATGGTCTTCCATGATGTTTCTTGCACAGTATTACAAACCTGCCTTGTAGAAGAATATGGGACTATTTTCTTGTTCAGTAAAATTCTGTTTAAGTTTTCACTATCAGGACAAATAATTGAACCCTCTTTTTTTCACGTACATGTTCTTGTGAATTTTGTTGGAAGATCCTGGAAAATGCAAATAGGGAGCCCCAGTTCTAGAGGAACGTACAAATCACTTCAAAATTACATTGGAAGAACGTAAATAACTGAATTTTGCTTTTAGCTAAATATGTTTAGGAGATAAGAGAGTGTAAGTTCAGTGTGGTGTATGTACAGGCTTATCTTACGGTCTTCAGTTTTAATCTCAAGTATTATTATATGTATAACCTAAAGGTATCAAGAGTCTGATTTGCATTAAGGTTTTCATTAACTAATGATAAAATAAGACTGAGTTCTTCTTAGTGTGGCATATTAATTAAGTTTTTCTTCTAAATATGAAGACTTCAAGAGAAGTAAAGATTTCTGGAGCGATTGGACCCTGTATCTCTCTCAACTCTAAAGGACCTTGTGTCTCAGAAAATGTAAGTTAACTTTGCTGAAAATGAAGGTAATATCCTACTATGGAACAATAGGAATTAGGATTTCTGGATTTGAAGAGAGGCTGAAACTTTTCTATAAATGGAACAAAGAGTGTTTGCTCTTTTACCAGTTTTAAATTAAATACACGCAAGGGCTGTTTTTTGGATAAGCTCCTGTTGGCTGATAGATTAGATTCAAGTTGTATTAGACCTCGCTTGGTTGGTTAGGTTTGTCCACTGAGTGGTTGCTTTAAAATTGTTGAAGAGAAGTTGTATGCTGGCAAAGCAGAAACCAAGTAGAAAGTGAGTTAGCATGCTTTATTGTTAAAATCAGAGCTATGTCCTTTTATCCAAACAGAGAACCGTGAAAATACTTTGTTTAGAAGGACTGAGTGAACAGGAGGACACAAGACACCTTCATCTTGACCCCATCTTCCCATTTGTATAGCTGTTTCACCAAATGCACATTTAATTAATTGGTTAGAATATCCAACGATTACAGGCTCCTGAAGTAACTCCTTTAAATTTACATCAGACTTAAATGATCACTTATTTTCTTATCAAATAATGTTATTATAGTTTAATTTTGCATTTGATTACTAATCAAAAAGAGTTTCTGCAAGTAGCCAAAATGTCTTACATTTGAGAAGTCTTACTTTTGTTCCTAACAATTTGCATAATGGAGCACTTTTCAGTATGAAAGTGCTTACAAATGGCCTGCTTTAATCAAGCATTTTTCGTGCCTAAATTTTCCTTGTATTTATGATTGCATCTTTGTGAACTAAAAATCTCAATATAATCAGCATTTTTTTTTTTCTTTTCTTCTCAGTGGTCTGGTGCAGATTTTCTTATTTTGTCACCTGAATGATTGCATATATTACAATAAAAGTTAAAAACCCAAAAAACAGTCAAATGTACATCTCCTTATTTTAAGCTATATATTTAAATCATAGGAGGTAATAGAAAATTAATTGTGAATTCATTTGTTGCCTTGCAATTATATAATGATTAATTTCTATTCCAAACCCCTTTTTGTTGAACATACCTGAATTAAAATTTTTGGGGTAAAACATATGAATAAAATGTAGACGCATGCAGCTCGTTGCAAGTGGTAACTGGACAATTAATCTAGCCATAATGCTTTTAACAGTGAACACAAGCACAGTGAAAATATTGCCGGTATAATTTTCCTTGAATGTTTTGTTTGGTTTCACTGGGTCCATTGTGGATGACTGATTATTTTAATTGGTTTCTCTGGGTATTTATGTTGTTTGGATGACAAAAAGGAATTGTCACTTGACAGGTATCACTATCTATATACAGTTACCTTGTTAGTTACTAGAGACTATGTAACTATATACTATGTAAGCTGTCTAGTTAAAGTTTTACTGGTGTGCCTTAGAAGAGTCATTCCACTTACATGTGCTTCTTACCTCTTCTCTTGGGACTGTTTAAGCAACGTCTAGTACTTTTTCCTGTTTCTGACTTGCTTTTTCCATTTTTCTAATGCCATTTCCTTGTCTTTCTAATATTCTAATCTTTTGCAACCATCTCCTTTTTTATTATTCCTGCATCCAACACTGACGTTGTTTTCCAAGAGTGTTTGTCAGAGAAGCTGACAGAGTGAGCAGGGAGAAGACTTGTGACAGAGTAGTCATAAACAATTACCTGTAATGGCCAGATGTTGTACTTCACAAAGGAAGATAATAATTCTGGTTTGTAAAAGTATTATAAAAATCTTTCTACAGGAGATTGGAACAGGAGGTACTTGTCAGTGGAAGATTTGTGGACTTAATCCTACTACAACACTTGCACTGTACTTTGAGGTGGTCAACCAGGTAATAAATACTTGTCTTCTTGTCTACTAAACACAGTAATTTTAGTTATGTGACTGCTGAAGCCTGTATTTTACAATATGATACATGTACAACATACAAATGATGTTGCTATTTTGTGTTGTCAAAGTTTAGAGATGGACACTAACAGCTTAATGATGAGCTAATCTTCTTCTTGAATATGATAATGAGAACCAAAGAGCTCTACAAATTTTGGATAGAGTTCATAATCTAAGTCCCAGCTTTTCTTTTCAGTGTTACTTATTAAAATGTATGTCAGCTGCAAATATGAAAATACTGTAATCTGTATATTTAAAAGTGCCTTTCAGTATTACAAGGTAATTACTCCATAATGTTACATTTTAGTTTATGCTTTAATTGCTCAGTATTTGCAAGTAAAGGTTGGCTTCATTGGAATACCTCAGGGGCATATAGCCTGGTTTCCTGTCTCCCTGAGGGGGTGCTAGGAAAGAGGATAAAAACATGACAAGCAAATGTGCCACTTCCTGCTAGTACTTTCCCTTCTTCCAAATATTTGAAGCTCAGGAACTATGTGAGTTGAATGTAGTTTCTATATATTTAGTACGCTATACTTTATAACCTATGCAAAGGTTTGAAAACTTGAACTTACCTTAGCCATTTTTCATTTTACTTTTTGCATATTTATTTTGGTCTCATTTTATTACTAGCCCTAAAACTGATCCGGTCAGGGTGTGTAATGGTTGATTTCAACTGTCCTCCTCCTTTGGAATTACTTACAGGTTTATATGCTGCTAACAAGGTATTTCTACTGACCAGAGTTTTGAAATTTCAGTTTACATCTGGATTCCAATCTTCATGTTTCGATGGCACTTTCTGGGATTCATTAATCAACATTTTAGAGTAGTATTGTTTTTGTTGCCCTGTAATTCTAGTGAATCGCATGGTGTTCAAATAGAATCTAATGAAATCAGCAATTGTAACGCAGCCCCTTTGAAAGTATTGTCTCTGCAAGGGTATGTGGAAGGAGAGAGCATTGGTTGCTTTAAGGGTATCTGGTGGAGGCAGCAACTGCTCCTAACATCCGTTAACAGTCTCGAAGTTTGTTAGCCATGTTTAGCAAAGGTACTCAACATAATAAAAACACCAGACAATGCATTTATATAACTTGAGCTGCCTATTGCTAAGAATGTTATCATTTTCTAGTAATTTGTTTATGCATTTTCAAATCATACTGTAAAATCTTGAGATTCACCTCCATTTAATTTTTTTTCCTCCTGTACTTAGCACAACGCTCCCATTCCTCAAGGAGGACGTGGTGCAATCCAGTTTGTGACTCAATACCAGCATTCCAGTGGACAGAGACGTATCAGAGTGACGACAGTTGCCAGAAAGTATGTTTTACTTGTGATGAATCATTTTCGAAAAAGCAGGATATATATTTGCCTTTTAATCTTTAGATTTTGTAACCAATCTATTGTTCTGGGATATGCAGTGCCACAAGTGGTGAAGGCATGATCATACCTTTGAGACAGTTGCCTCTCTTGTTCTGTGGGCTGTTTCTTCTCTGAGAGGTTGCTGTGGCTGTATAATGATGTTATGGGAGTGCTCTGAAGTAACCCAAATGATTTTAGATGAAGAGGAAGCTTTGAGTGAAATTCTATGGCCTAAACTGAGGAGATGGTCGGACTTAGGGAATGGCAAAGATCACTTTGTAACTTAACTTGAGAGTGCTAGCTGCAGTTCAGGGGGGTGTAAATACCTGTTCTTCCATGTATAACCTTTACCTGCAGCTTCCTTGATTCAATTTACTTCACAATTCTAGAAGGTGATGTTTAATATCATGCAGGCATTTTTCAACGTCCAATGACATTTCCTTTAAGCTGAAGAGGATTATTGATTGGTTAATTCGATGGAAGATTCAGTTTATCAAAAAAAACATTGCCATTACTGTTGATAGGAATATTTTGTTAACTTACATTAATTATGTTAGTAAAATCTTCTTGGTGACTGTTAGAAGGACAGATAATAGTTCACTTTGTAAATTGAAAAGAACAAGCAAGGTGCACAAGAAAACTGCTTGTGTGGGAATGTGTGATTAGCTTCGTGGACAGTGTTTTCTGTAACTTACCTTTCATAATTAATTTTTTTTAATATAATAACTGTTTTATGAGTGGCATTATATTTTATTTCACTGGTTGCATGGCATCTGTACAAATAAGGACATTTCTAATTAAAGAACTGTTAACTGAGAGACTGCTCATTTACGCCCAGTAGATGTTTGAAGCTCCAGCATGAGTTTGTTAAAATGCTAACACTGCTTTCTTTGCCTTAATTTTGAAGGGATATTTTGAGGTTGGACATCTTTCCTTTCACTATGATGCAAATACTTGTATTTTTCTCTTGTAGCTGGGCAGATGCACAGACACAGATTCAAAACATTGCTGCATCTTTTGACCAGGAAGCTGCTGCGATTCTCATGGCTAGATTGGCAGTGTATAGGGCAGAGACAGAAGAGGGGCCTGATGTGCTTAGGTGGCTGGACAGACAACTTATACGACTGGTAAAAAGGACTATATTAAAAGAGTTAGATTGGTTTCTTGTCTCCATATTCATAAATGACTAGTGTTCAGTGATTGTTTCTTTAAAAACAAAACAAGACAAAAAAAAACCGGAATGCTTCATTTCCACAAGTGGGTATGCAAAATTAACTAAGATTTTCTATTTTAACTGCAAAAAAGAGCAGATATGTTTTTAGTTCATTTATTAATGTTTCCTCAGTCCTCAGCAGTTGGTAATTGCCAGCAATTGAGAGAAATTCTAGCATGAGATTAGCAGAAATTAAAGCTTTCTCTACTTTGTGCTGCCTATAATGATGTTGTAGAGAAAATATTTTTAGCAAAAAAAAAAAAAAAAAAAGTCAAAGTATCTAGAAAACCGTATGGGATTTCTTTATTTTCGAAAGTTCAGTTTTCTGGTGTTTTGTGTTTTTTATTTCTTACTTGTAAGTAAGTAGTTATTAATAATTTAATTTTAAACATGTTCTCCAGGGCTGTTTAATCATCTAACTCTGCTTAGCGATTTTAGAGAAAAAAACCAAAAAGCCATTAAAGCCTCATATGCAAGGAAATCACTGCTTGTTAAGAAAAGAACTTACATCGGTGTTTTTGCTAAGTTTCTGTTTGCTTAGAAAGCTGTAAGCACCTCAAATCATGTGTCTATTAAAAGCAAACAAACTTACAGTAATGACCAAGCAAGTATGTTTCTTAATTTAGATAAATTTTTCTTTTACTCCAGTGTCAGAAATTTGGTGAATATCACAAGGATGATCCAAGCTCTTTCAGATTTTCAGAAACCTTTTCACTTTACCCACAGGTGAGTAGTAGGAAGGTGTGTCTATGAGGGATAAAGAGAGAACGCTTAGTGAAGGAAGAGGCACTGTAGCACAGAGTAAAATAAGGCATTACACTGGATATCAGAATGGAAAGACCCCCTGCCCTCAGCTACTGCCTGGCATGTGACATTAGGCAAATCACTTCTGTTGTCTGTGCTGCTGTGTCCCCTTTTGCCCTCTGTCCTTACAGCTAAACTTCCTCTAACTGTGTATATTTTTTGTTTCTCCTGTAACGGAATCCACATCTTACCTGAGTTTGTAATTCAGATAATGACACTGGTTTTTTTAAGGGCAGTTTTAATGAAGAAATTCAGAAAATATGAGAAAAGATACGGTTTTGCTTTCTTGTTTCTTTCCTATATGATTTATAATACTGACCTGAAAAGAAACACTTCACTGGTGAAGTGAACTTGAGCTTGACTATATTAAACTTTGAATAATTTCTTTGCTAATAATCCGTTCTGATTAATTCCTTCATTCTGATAGCTCCTGATATGTTGCTTTTGGACTCTTCATGGACTTCCATGATATTTCTGTTTGAGTTATCTACCAATCTGTCTCAGGGTTGTGGTCTCAAGTGTTGTTGAGAGATTGATTCAGCATGTGGAGAGATTGATTCAGCAATGAAAGGATTTGCTTTTTCCACTTTACTAACAAAGTTCAACTTTGCTGTGGTTAATGTTCCTTTTCCTGTTCACATGCTATAACTTACCTTCTGCGTGCAAGCACAGCAGCCTCCCTTGTAGGAACAGTAGAACTTATAGTAAAGTGAAGGCTTTGGCAATATTTATTCCTATTTCTCCAGTGAGTACTGGAGAAGAAGAAATACTAAACTTTTCCTCTTAATTCAAAGCTGCTTTGTAGGTTTATCCATTCTGATCTCTCTGTCTTACTCTCATGAGAGTATATAAAAACTGGCAAAGGTGCATATACCAGTTAAAAATGTTAAAGGACTTGGAATTCAATTTTTTTGTGGCATTGGTCTCATGTAGTCTGTGGAAAAGATTTCTCTCCTTGTACAACTCTCCTTTTTATCTGTGAACGTTCAAACAAATGGTTTTTGTTTTGCAGTTTATGTTTCACTTGAGAAGATCTCCTTTCTTACAAGTTTTTAATAACAGTCCAGATGAGAGCTCATATTATCGTCATCATTTTATGCGTCAAGATCTAACCCAGTCGCTTATCATGGTTCAGCCGATTCTTTATGCCTACTCTTTCAATGGACCTCCAGAGGTATCATTATATATAACATAATAGTAGGTTAAAAGGTGCTGTTTTGAGAGGGAGATGATTGTTGTCCTCACTGTTACATGTTATAAAATGTGTTGTTTTAAAATTTATCGCATGAGAAAGAATATTCATTTAATATAGAACATACTATGAACAAGGCATATCTCAGAATTCTGATGTAGCATAGTCTTGACAAGTCAGTTTGTGAAGAGATGATGTTTTAAACTAAGGAATGGTACATTTTTTTGTTAGTTTTTGAGAGCTGTATGAGTTTTGCTTTTGTTTTTGTGGTGCCAGAATGTAAACATCAACAAAAATGTTTTTATTTCAGAATGTACTTTTTCTGTAGAGTTTGAAAGAAAAGTTGGGGTGTTTTTGAAATGTACAAAATTTCCTCTATCTTAATGCCCTCATCCAAAGCTTCTAATTTTGATGAGGTTACCATTATGTATAGATTTGGTACAGAACCTTCCAGCTGACCTTATCATGCCACATTCTGTATAAACCTAAAATAAAAAGATGATCTTCCGAGAAGCTTGTGAAATAAGTGTAAGGTAGGAGACAACAAAAGTAGTCTGATAGGTAAGAGGGAGTGAGGAAATGTTAAGACAGTGAAAATAAACATAGTAGGCAAGGATCTTGGCAGGTTGGAATTCTAACTTTTGTTAGGAATTTTTTTTTTTTTTTTTAAAGACTGTCATGGGGATAAAAAAAAGACTTTTAAAAGTGGAGTTTAAATTAAAGTAATGAGGGGGTTTGTGAAGAGCTACTCACAGGTGTAAGATCATTCTCCCATGTATGAATAACAATTAGTCACATGGGTGATGCAAAGGAGAAGCATGATCAAGCAGAAGCTGACACCTCAGTGTAGAATGAGTAATAATCTTTTTTTTTTTATTCTTGGAATAGTTAATATTTTTGGTATCCCTAATAAGATTGAGCCAATTAAATCACCTGGTACTGATTCAATTAAAATCATATAGTGCCAATATAGTGTCACTGCCCTTAAAAAGGTGAATTAAAACTTTAAATATTACATTAGATTTCATAAGTATTAGATTTCATGAGTATTTATTCTATACAGTATTGGTGGATATATATGCATAGTAATAAGAGCTGTAAGGACAAGACTAAAAAAACCAAACAACGCACAACCCCCAAATCTTATAACTACTGAATCTTTATATATTGAAATATCATTTAAGTTAATGGCATTGTATAGGTAAATATGGAGGTACTTGAAAGACTAGAAAAGTGCATGATAATGAAAGAGGTTTCAGCTCTTGAATACCATTTTTATTACTTTCATGAAGTTACATATTCAGAATCAGGCTGGATAACTTTAGAATGAGATTATGTGGGTTGCAGATGTATAACATGAAAACGAGCAAATATGGAGCTTTAGTAAGTGATTGAAAAGGCTCCTAAGATTCAGTGACTGATTCAAAAAGCTGGTAATGCCATCTGATTGCTCAATTCTGCATCAGTTGGTATTTTTTAATTTATTTTTAAATCTTAGCCTGTTCTTCTGGATAGCAGCAGCATTTTACCAGATCGCATTCTTCTTATGGACACCTTTTTCCAGATCCTTATTTATCATGGAGAGGTAAGATTTGTAATTTCTTACATAAATATTCTTTTTCTGTAGGAGTGCTACGTTATGAAAGTCAAGCCCCAGTTCTAAAGCACTCCAGTGCTTTACCTCTCATCTGCATGGCTGATACCAGACTCCTAATTCATGTTTGTAGTTTGGTAACCTAACATGCCTATACACAGATACCTGACCTTACTTGATGTTTTGGTGCTATTTGTTATGACGGGTTTCGGATGAATTAGCTTCAATATGCAGATTATTTGTTTTAGATCAATAGTTTTCCAACTTTTGAGTGTTATTCCCCGCGCACCCCCCTGCTTTTCACTCATTTATTTTAGACCTCTAAATTAGTTCTTCAGGGATAGGCAGTCAGAACACCAGTCACCCTTCACCCGCATTGTCCTGGAGGGATGAAACTGCTCCTGGCAGTTCAGTAGATAGACATTCGCTAGTAATATAAATATAAATGCTTGTGACTTGCCTAGTGCGCTGCTGCCCTGGAGGAATTGAGCTGCTGCTTTTTACTGCTTTGCAACTGGAAATGGTTCCCAGCTGAGACTTTGAGAAATACTGTTCTGGATCATGTTCTCATAGCTGCACTATTGCAAATGGTTACTAAACTTTAACACTTATTAAATAGAACAATATTCTCTGTATTTTTGTAAGACGCTGTCAGGAAGCAGCAGGAGTAGGCTGCTCCCTGAGGGAAGGGGAATGGGGAGCTGAGCGTGATTGCAAGGCAGCAGAGGCCTCACCAGTGAGTACCTGGCTTCATTGAGCATGGCAAGCAGAGCAGTTTACAGACAGTAGCGAGGTTCAGCCACCAGTCCAGATCATCACACAAGTCGTTGGGGATGAGACAGGTCCAAGTTCTAGCCGGTTAGTCAAGTCCCCGGGTGGGGGTCTGGATGAGTGGGGTACATGGCCAGGTACAGGCACGGCTGCAGTGGAGCTCAGGCAGGAGCCAGCGATGAGAGCCTCAGCTTAAAACAGCTGCCAAGCAAAGGAGGGGGAAACCCCTACTGAGACTCCCTCCAGGTCTTTCCTAACAACAGCCTGTATCGGTGAGCTGACCCTGAGCAGCCAGCTTCACTCCTAGAAGGTGGGGAGGCTGCGCTGCAGGCCCTGAACGGTAAATGTCAGTGTAAGTATTTATTTTTTATGTGTCATAGACGTGCATATTAGAGAAATGTAAATAGTATCCTTGACCTCATGAACTAAATGTTTGACACAAATTGTTAGAGTTTAAAAAAAAAAAAACTAGCGGCATGTTACTTGTACACCTTGGTTTTTAAAAATTAACTTGCATACTATAGGGCAGAAAGGGCTGAGTGATAGAAAAAGAGGCCAGCAATGGCACATTCTCCTCTGAAAAGCCCTGTGTATCATCTAAGAAAGATTGATGAATCAGTTCTAAACTTCTTTCTTCCCCCTATCCCCAGACCATAGCTCAGTGGCGTAAATCAGGTTACCAAGATATGCCAGAATATGAAAACTTCCATCATTTGCTACAAGCTCCAATAGATGATGCCCAAGAAATTCTCCATTCCAGATTTCCAATGCCCAGATACATTGATACAGAGCATGGAGGAAGCCAGGTGTGGTAAAATATATATTACATAATCTAGGAAGTGATGTGTTAGTAATGTCATGAGATTTTTTTGGTAGTAAACATGCATTTCTGTGCTGAAATATATGTAAATTGCAAATGAAAGTTTTGAATTTTGAAGCTTTTACAGAGCCAGATATTTAGTAGTAGCTTTTTGCCTAATTTGTGAATCCTGTTGTTTATTACTGTTTTTACCATACTGACTTGGACTGTCAGATTCCTTGTGTGAGGTGTGTAAGACAAAAAAGATAGTACTTGTCAGGGTCTCTGGACCAATACTAGAAGTATTCTTTGTGTTATTTTTTTAAAACTTATTAATTAACATTTTATTGATATCACATTTGCTTTGCTAGTGCTTAGAAAAAGACAAAAGCTTTACTTTCTGCTGCATTGAAAAGTTGTTAGCAGTTCTGCATTATAGCTGTGGAATCCAGGGAGTGTCTTTATTTATAGAGGTGCTACTTGCTCTTCTGAATAGGTACCTGTGCATGTTTTTATCTCCAAATAATACAAATGGTGTATTTCATACACGTGTAATTTTTTCTGAGTATGAGAAATTTCTATTTAAGAAGATTAATTTATTGCCTGTGTTTTGCTTTTTAAAGGCTCGTTTCCTGCTTTCAAAAGTAAATCCCTCTCAGACTCATAACAATATGTATGCATGGGGGCAGGTAAGTGTGAATCTGCTGATGAAGCTGGTATGCATGATTTTACGTTCTTCCTCCCTATTTCAGAAATCACGTGACGCATTGTGTACATATAAGTGATAATGCCAAGTTTTGAAACTGAAAAAGAAATGCAGTTTTGGCCTGATGTCACCAAAATTGCAAAAGTTAAGAAAAATGGATTTCATCTCTTCAGACAAAAATGATCTGGTTTGCTGTTTCAAGCTTCTGTTAGGCTACTTTCATGTCTAGCCATCTTTCTTAGACAAATACCTCCAAATACCTTAGAAAGAGCACTTACCACACATAAAGACTAGGGGACCTTTTTGCAATAGGGGAAATAAATTTTGACGTTAGTTATACGGAAGAACTGAAAAGTACATCACTACAACTGTACTGATGTTTTCCAGAATTTTGGTGGCCCAGGTGACCAGGAATCAGTTTTTCAAATCTTGTCTTTAGGAAGGAAGTTATGTACGAGTTCAAAAGTTAAACTTCCTGGAGCAGCTTGTATTCCTGAACGTTGCATCCTAGTTCCATGTTCTCCCTCCAAATTCAGTTTTTATACTGGGAAGAGAAATACTGCTGTGGGTGAATGCTAGTGCAGTGTCATTTTCTCATGAAAATGTAATGGCATCAGACAGTTGAAGCTACATACTAACTGTACTTTTAAAGTACTTTGCTAAAGGGCATACAGTGTTCAAGTCATGAGTAAGAGAGCTCTCTAGCAATTTTACTGCAGTGATTTTTGTCAGGTGAGTTTTATCAGGGTACGTTTTCATAAGGATGTATTGGTTCTAGTGAAACTTCTGGCAGGGAAGAGCACTGAGATCCAAAGTGAAAATACTTCAAAACTGTACTGAGTCAGGGGCAGCACGATTTGAACCCAGCTCTCTTGCCTCCAAAGTTGATAACCTAACCAGCAGACTGTTAGTGTCTCTCTTCATCACGTTTCCTCCACAACATACACACAAATCCTGTAGTTTGAAAGGTCTTGTTTTTATCTAAACATTACCTGGAAATTTTTGAAGCTTTGGTGTTTCCAACAGTACAGGACAACTGTTTCCTGCTCATTTAATTAGTAAGCAAATGAAACAGTATTCCAAATGTAAATGCAAATACAAAACAATTCTTGAACTGATCTCTAAGAAAATTGTTCATGCTGGACAAGTGAGACTCTTTGATACGTCTTAGAAAAGACAGCTTTCCCTTTTAATATTGAAAAGAATTCAGTTCTAGAGTAACATAAGAAATGGTGTGTTAATCTCCCCAGTGGCATTGCAGCATGTGTGCTCAACATAATATCCTGCTGTGTTTGCAGGGTTTTTTGTGAACAAAGTTGAACCAAGTACAAATTCTGAAATGAGAAATGTAACTGTTGGGAGAAAATTTTAAACTGAATTGGTTTTGCTCTTGTTTTTCTCATGAGCTTCCTGGATTGTTTCATGTAGTTTCATTTTGTGCATAACTGAGTCTACAGAAAAATTGTTAGTCCACATTGACCTGAAGAGGGCACTCACACACCACTGAAACCACTTTCCAGGAGGTGATTAATTGACTAGTTTGGTTTTTAATATTGTCCGTAAAGATTTTTTTAAACTTTAGCAGGTAGGTGCCTTATATAGTACAGAAAACATTTTCAGAAGATAATGGTAAACTTTTCATACAGCTCTATTATGTTGGTAGTCTTTGAAGATGCAGTTGAAATTTTCAGATTATACTGGATCTGACATTTATTTGAGAATGCCTTTATTTTCAGCTTTTTTTTTTTTTTTTTTGATCTTTTTTGTCTTGGTAACTATGGGGAATTTGCAATTTGAAATGAAAGAAGAGGTCACTGGCACAAATCTTACCAAATACCCAGCTAGCTGTCACGAAATCACTGTTAATTAAATTTAAATTCTCATTGCACCTTAGATCAAAATTTTGAATGAATAGAAAACAAAACTTAAGGTGGTCTGTGAAAAATCAAAGCTAATTCTCATGTACTTTTCAGATTTGTACATTGTGACCTTGCTGGTTTTCACGTTATTCCCCAGCAAATAAAATACTCTGCTACCTTACCTGCTAGAATGAAGGGTTCCCAGTCTTCAGAGTAAAGCTACTGCAGATGGTGGTAGCAGTGGTGACAGCAGCTGCCTGTGTGCACATGTTGGATAAGGTGTTCAGCTTCAGGAATAGTCTGTGCATTGGTTTTGTTACCCTGGATTGCCACTAGCAGTCATCGTGAGGGATCTCTTTTCTTAGGGGTCTGTCAGCTCCTTTGGTGGTTTATTTACTGGAGGATGATGTACTGTCCTTCCACGTGTAAGGCACAAGGTGGCAAATTGTATCCTGCCCCAGAATTAAACTACTTGTAATTCACTTGTGGCCTCTTAAATGAGAGAGCTCAGGCTTAGCATTTGGCAGGCTTGGAAGTAGAACATCCTTTATTCTCATCTTGCCACCATCAGCTCACAGATAATTTAGTGGGCCTTCCCTGAGCGTGGCTGTGTATTGTGTCAAGTGTATTGTAGTGATCTAAAAACTCTTACTGCTCCTGGATTTGTCCCTTGATCATTAACCGAGAACTGGTTTTGGCCTGTTCTCAAAAGGGGGCACCAGTTCTAAGCGTCGTCATTAAGACTTTCATGTCTGTGTTTTTTAAGATTTTGTAAGAGTTCAGACAGCTCTATTTCATTTGGAAATATGAGTGCTTAGTACCTTTGAAGAGATTGAATTGTTGAGATTTATAGGAATTCTTCCTACAGCTGTAAATGGAAGTAATGGCAGATTGGTTTCAAAGGACTTAAGAGAGTTACTATGTAACATTTGCAGAGTTGCCAGTTGCTGTTTTATTTCTACTGTAAATTTGTTTAAAAGTAGTAATTAAAAAATGACCACTTTGAACTTACTGGATTTTTAAAAATTACTTCTGAGGTCAAAAAGTAAATTGCAAAAATCCACCCAAAAGGTTTTTTTTAATCTTTTGTGATATGATTTTGCAGTGGCATGACCTTCCGATGTTGTTTTTGGTGTTTCTCTGAGGTGGCACAGAGGCTGTAGGAGAGAATTGGCCCAGCTTTCCTTGAGAAAGCTGGTTGACCTTCACTCGGTATCAAATCAGACCCTTAGTGGATTTATTTTCTCCTTTCGCCATTCTGATATGTCTGAGCTTCACTGACAGCTATTGATTTGTTGTGTCACTTGCATGTTTCTGTTTGTCTCGCCTTTGTCTGCTCCACTGAGGTAGGAATGATACAGGAACTGTGGCATGGAAGTTTTCTTTACTTTTAAAAATTTGTAAGTTAGTATTTGGCATCTGTCAAATACTCTGAGTTTTGTATGGTTGATGTAAATATCTTGCTATACTGCAGCTCATTGCCATATGCAAAAAATTTTGGTTTATGCCTGAATTTATGTAAACAGATGAAAATTTATGTAAATGTACAGTCTACTGTTTTTTGTCAGAGGATTTCACCAATGATATGCTTCTAAGGTCTTTCTAAATTTATGAAGTGTTTATTTAATGGAACGTATTGTGCCTTAAAATGCTTTTTCTTCACAAGGAGTATAATCAATTCTCCTTGTTTACTTTTATTTATAGGAGTCTGGAGCACCCATTCTTACTGATGATGTCAGCTTGCAAGTATTTATGGATCATCTGAAGAAACTTGCTGTCTCTAGTGCTGCCTGAGATTCTGCAGTGCATTAAAGGCACAGATAAGCTGTAGCCATATTTCAGCTTTTTCTCCTTTACCTTTTCCATGTCTTGCTTGACAGAATGCTCTGATATGCACAAGCTGCCTGACTAGATGTAAAGCAGTGTTGTTTTCAAAGAAAAGCTTTTGTTATCAGCAAATGTTTTAATGTGAACTGCAGTTTGTAAAAATGACAGGTAGTAGATTAAGTTATAATTAGAGGAAAAAGAACAGTCATTTTGATTACTGTGATACTATGATTACTTTGAGATCATTTATAACAACTTTGAGATGTGATTTCAGTTTCCTTTTTAAATGGTTGAGGTTGATTCTGCTCTGCACTGCAAAAGCACATTGAACAATAAAGGAAATCTTTGGTGGTGTCGGGCTTTCCAGACTGCCATATGACTACTTTTGCTTTCTCAATTTGAGCACGAAGTGAACAAAGAAGCTACAAAAAGCATATAAAAATAGTATTAACTCAGTCTTTTGACTTAGGCTGTTGAACTTTTCTTTCCTGCAGAGATATTATTGTTCATGTATTGTTCATTTTAGGAGTATTTAATTTCAAATATTTCTTCCCACGTACTCCACTTGATTCTTTGGGAACAGAGTTTTTCTTTATTTCCACATGAATTTGAACTGAAAAAGTAAAAAATCTGTTATTGCACAAAATTTAAATCCACATGTTGTATTTTTGACAGAAGTATCTATTATCAAACACAGTAACAGATGAATATGCTTAAAAGTTAACACTTTTAGCTTGAGCTAAGAAGAAATCCTACACTACCAAAATGAACTAAGAGTACAGCCTTGATTTTTGTCTTGGCGAGTATACTATTAAAAAAAAAAATATTTACCTCTTTTATTATTGCCTTATAATGTTACTACACTAATGCATGACACTGCACATTTGCTTTTTGTTTCTGCATCCTTTTTGTTATGAATTCAACAGGCTATAGTTCTTATTGAAACAGTATTATATAGAATATGATGTAATTAATTTGATATTTAGTTCATACTTGATTTTTTTTGGATGGATAAATTAGAAGGCTTTCCCATTTACTTGTTGAAGTTTACACATAAAACAGATGTTTACATACGTAATATGACATTTTGAAAGTAAAGATGTGAAATGTGGTAGCAGGCAATAAAAAATTGTGCCAGGTCTAAAGGAAGAGAGAGAGTTTTGACATAGGAAATTCAATCATATACTGGTATGATAAGCGTGAGGGTTTTTTCTATTTTCTGTAAATTCTCAAAAACTTGATTAAATCAGTTGCTCTCCATTTCTTTGATCTAAATGAGATGAGCTCCTTTTGCCTCAATACAAATAAAATACATGTTTTTCTCTCACTTTTTGTATTTATTGTGCTGGTTTCTGTCAGTGCTTGAAATGAAATGTGGAAATAAAGGTAGTAATGATAAAATTTAGAATAACTTCCCCACTTTTAGTCATGTAATAATTGGTATCAAACTTGTTTAACTTCCAGAGATACTGAACTGTTCACACTAGTGGCAGTTTAGGAGATAAAAATTCAGTTGCCCTCTTGACTTTGTTTTGTTTTAGCTAATAAACAGCTTAAAAAAATTTTCTCGTAACACTACATATGTCCAATTTATTTGGCAGTTAAGTACCGTTTGACTAATAAATCAATTCACCACCAAGTCATGATAATGGATGGGGTTTTTTGTGCTTTCCCTCCTACCCTTTAACCAGCTTTCACCTTGTAATAGGTTCTTTTATCCAATCTCTTGCAGCATTAGCTTCTGTAACTTCAAGTATTTAACATTGTCAAAGACTTTTTGAAAATCCAAATATGTCTGATGTATTACCTTTATCCTCCTGCTTATTCACCTCTTCCACAGACGCTGTGTGGTTGGTGAGACAGGATTTTCCTTCATAGGAAGCATGCTGGCTCTTTCCCGAAAGCCCATGTCTGTCCATAGGTTCACAAGTCTTGCTCTTTATTATAGCCTCTGCCATCTACCAGGGATAGAGATCAGACATGGGCAGCAGTCTGCCAGTCATCTGGCACAGTGACTGTCTGTAGTGATAGTTAAACACGTTCACTGGCACCTCTGCCCTTCGATGTTTCACTTCCTTCAGAACTCCGGGGTGAGGGCCATCCAGTCCTGGTAACTTGTTAACATCTCATTCATCTACTTGATCTAATACTTCCTGCACATTTACGTAGGTCAGATGAACTACACCAGGGGAGGTAAGCTGTTTGTTATGACTGAGAATTGATCAACATTTAAAATCAAAATAATCTGTTGTAGGGTTGTGCTACAGGAGAAAGTGATTCAAAAAAGATAAATTACTGCTGTTTGCTGTCCTTGCTAGCATCTGTATTACTAAGCTTCTTGGTGAAGAGATGCTACCGATCTGTGCAATGTCCATGACACACAGCCATCTTATCACAAGGGCTGACCTATTTAACCATGATAGCAGGCTTTGCAATGATTTCTTTAAATAGTTGGTTTTGGCTGGACACAGATTGGAAATCAGAGGAAGAGTTGGTCAAATCTCCTTGTGAAAAACACATGGCCTTAGACTTGGAAGAAGTAGCCTTCTGCACGACAAGGGATAAAGCAGTTGCTGACTGTTCTGTTAAGGACTGGGAAGTTGAAGACTGAAAATTATCCATGGGCACTCAGAGGTAGGGGAGCAAGCAGTTGGGTGCTGCTTTCTCTGCTTTTTTAGGCAGGCTGTGAGTCTTAGAACAATACAAAATCTGTTATTGATACAAACTTCCTCACTGGACACATACGTGCCTGACGCATTGCCATCTGGGAAGTACATTTGTCTCGGAGAGCAACATAGGTGAATCTGAAGTTTATGTTTTGCCAGAATCATGAAATCAGATGGAGGCTCATAGCAATGTAATAGCTGGTCATGTTCTTAGATACTCTTGTTGCCGGTGTTTGGACGTTGTATAGAAAAGCACATTGTGATTGTCAGTCCTTACACAGTGCCTGGTCTATAAGTTGCTTATTTCTCTGGACAGCTTTTCAGGCTGTATGTGCTAAACAAGCATCTGAATTTTTCTTTTCTTTTCATTGTCTTAAGTCCTGTACTTACAGTCCATTTATTATGTCCACATGCCATCCATGTGTTTAGATCAGCCCACAACACAAAGCTCTTACTGCTAGCATACTAAAGATTAGGTGAAAGTTTGCTGGACCTTGTAAGCATGAGAGCTGCCCTCTGTTCAGGAAAAGAAACTGTGTTTAAGCTCTATTTTGGAATGAGCCATTTAAAGCAACAGAAGCATCATCCAAAACATGGATGGTGGTTCCATATTTATACATATAAAACCCTCAAAGCTCAAAGTGTTTCTGACTGAACCTCAAAACCAGACTCCTTGCCATCCACACAGAGATGTAAGTATGCTGGAAAGCAGGTCGGAATATCCCCTGGCAGCGCTCTGCTCTTTCACTGGTGAGACAGCAAGCCTCTGCCATTTGGTGTCTTGCTGACTGTGAGCTGCTGTGGTAAATGCCCTGGCTTGGCCTCTCCTCTCCCCGCAACTTCACAGGTCTGGGACTGGCACAGCTGGTATGTTAAGAACCTTTGGAAATACTTTACATTAATTTAATCCATGTTACGTTACAGCTTCAGGATCTCCTTTTCTGGAGAGTTGAGGATTTTTTTCAGCTACTCTCAGTTTATTTAATCTTTTCTGTTTTTTTAATACCAACTGTCAATAATTTTCTTTCCTCTTGTTTGGGAAAAAGTAGTGGATTGTTGACTTTAGACTGTCATCTCCTGCTTGAATGGGATAACTCACAAGGTACCAGGTTTAGACACAGATTTAACAAACTCAACCAAAAGTTGAAGTTAAATTGCTTAAAGGCATGTGGATTTGCCTAGAAATACAAATATTGTCAAATTCCTAGAACCTCACAGATTGGTCTGTGAGACCATGACATTGATGAGTGGTCCCATGGCTGCCTCCAACACACAATGGCGTGTTTGGAAAATGGCATTTCCCAATATTCCCTCTTTTCCTCGATTAAAAATAATAGTTGATGAACAGTGACCAGGAGCCTATTCTGTTCTACCAAATCTGAGGCAAACAACTATATTATCCCCCTGTCAGATTGTGAAGCACAATAAAATTGAGCTTAGTTTAGCTTTTGGTATTTTGGGTTCATACAAAAGTTAAATGTTACATGAAAGCCAACAAGCCTGAACAGAACAGATGGAAAAATTAATGAAGCTGTTGCTTTGCTCTGAATTTAGTGTAAAATCTTCTTTAAAATAGCAGATTGTGCCTAATAGTGTAAGCTTTTGTCTGAAGGAAGGACTGTGACGCTAAAAGATAAACAATTAAATCAATGTCCATAAATCGATTTTTGGCAAAAATGAAGCAAAATAATCACTGCATACTTTAACAACGGAGGCTGTCCGCAACACCTGCAGGTTGTCCATCGCATGTGTCTTTCAGTGCTCTTCCATGACTGCCTGGAGGTATCCAGCTGTGTGGTACATTTGCCCTGAGGTGGGGTAAGAGTTTGCTTGGAAGCTAATGTGTGTGGAACAAGCAATAGGCTGTCCTTTGCCTTTCTCAGGGAGAAATACACGTGTTAAGTCATGGTCTACAGTCGGCTTATGTATTGGAACTGTGCACATTCAGGGGGTGTTTCTCTGGCTAGAGAATGGCCAAAGACCAATATATCTTATTAGAAAAAGAGCCTGTGTCTCACAAAGCCCAGGCATGGCAGCCCTGTAATTTTCTCCTCTTTTCCCTAATGCTAGGAACAGACAACGACTGAAGGGATTAGCCACTTTCAAAGCATGCATATAAATTGTGCTATCAGGGTAACTTGGAACCATAATGGTTTTTGAAGTGGGGTCAAAATAATGTGGGGGTGGCATCTGAGGTCTCTGAACATGCACTTCCTTCTAGGTTAGAACCCACCTCTGTGTGGCTGCCAGCCTTTCATCCTCAGGAGAGACGCCAGTGACTCATGGGCCACAGTTTGTACAGACAGCATATGGAACTGTATTGCTTTTATAGGGTTATTAATAAAAGTTTAGCAAGGCAGCATAGCCATGTGTGAAAAATTGAAGCTAGGTGGAGACCCAGAAAAGTTTAGGTGACACTAGACTGGTATGAAGTAGCACATGTAATTAATAAAGTACCAAAGAAGAGGAGATTACATTTCTAGGATTCAACTGTGAGCTCCTTTTCAGCTGCATTCTGGGGGCTGGTACATATTTCACTGTTTTCTGTAGCAGTACAGTCATGTTTGAGCCTTGGCTCTGAATTGATGTGAACCTTTTAAGACCCTGTCCTGTATGACCTGAAGAGAGTGCTACCATGGGAGAGGGATTTTTTTTTTCCTTTTTTTTTTCCCTGCTAGGTTATGTCAGGATGGCTTGAATTACTAATTGAAATGTGGACAATTTA